AATCTTTCTGTTGAACAGGACTGTGTTGAATAGCCCTGCACTATGTCATTTTTCCCCTGGAGAGTAGTTTATACATGGAAGATAAGTCCTAGAAGTGGGATTGCTCAGTATGGGTAGGTAAAATTTTGAGTGGCAGCCAGATTCTTCCCACAGAGGCTACCTGCAGGGCCTGATTCACCACTCTTTTCAACCTGAAGTGTCATCTAATTACTTATTCTTTGGCAATATTTTGCTATTGCAAGATAAAAATTAGTCCATCCCTAAAGAATTGCACTTCTCTTTGATGACCTTGAGTTCCTTTTCACCTATGGAAAAGCCATTTGAATTTCTCTTTGTGTGAACTATGTATTCATGTCCTGTACCCATTTTTCTCTGTGGCTTTTGTTTTCTTTTTTGCTATTATGATGTTAAGCTTTTGATCATTTTATCCCTGGTTTCCTGTAGTGTTTGGTTGTTGGTGGATCTGTAAGCAAGAATTCAGAGCCCAGCAAAGGGATGGGCAAGGCCAAATTACTTCCTTGCCAAGTGGTAATGATCAAAGGACTTGGGGACCGCAGGAACACTGGGTATCACACAGCAGTTTTCAGGTGCATGATGACATTTACCAGACTGGTTGGTGATTTTTGAGCCTCATGTGGCTCATGTTAAGTGCATCCCTGGACATGTGACTTGATGGTTTTGTTGGCCCAACCTTGGTTAGTTATTGTTGTAGCTTTTCACTAAAGGCCACGGAATGAAGTTGCGCCCCCTTCACTGGAATATTTGTGATTTCTTTTCTTTGTCAATATTTCTACTCTAAAAAAGAATGGGACAAGGTGCTTTCTGTCTTTAATAAATTAGCCTTGTCATCCAAGAGTCTAGTAAAATTCTCTGTTCCAAGTGGCTGTTTAATAACAATTTAATCAAAAAGGCAAATGTCTCCAAGTGCTATTTTGCTGTCTTTCCTTAAGGCATGCACATTGGTGCAGTATTTCTCCAATCATACAAATAGGTGTTGTGTGGTTACTTTTAAAAATACCTGTGGTCATGTTAATTTTGAAAAAGCTGGGATTAAATAAATAAGTTTCTTTACTACAGGATTTTTCAGAGACCTAGATGCACCAGCAAGTCCATCAAATGTTCACGATAGAGACGCAGGTTTTGCAAATGTATCTGACCACAGGACAGCATTTTCAGTTTTTGTAGACTGTGATTGAAATACTATCCAAACAATTAGCTCAAATCTCAGAGAAGAATTAGAAGAAAACTTTGATTTACTTGCCCCATTGATTTGTCTGAATTAGGCCAAATGAGAACCGTTAGGTAGATAGGATTTTTGATTATGTGGCTGTAATCAGACTTCTGAAATTAAGTAAAAATATTCTTGTGGCTAAATCTCAGATACACTGATAACTTTCTCAGGGTTCCCTAAGGTATTATCAAGAATATGGAATTAAGAGATCAAAGCTATTGCTGGTAACCCCATGGCTGTTTCCTACTTGAGATCAGAAACTACCCTCTGAGGCATCCAAATCTACATGGGCTGGGAATAAGGTGTAATGCTGGGAGCAGGTAAAGTAACCACCAGCTGGGGGCCTAATGACCGGGCAAACCTGAAGAGCCAAGCAGGGGAACCAAAGGAAGGATGGAAAAGCTTATTATGTCCAGGTCACTAAGAGAGTGGCTTATTCTTTTTATTTTTTTCTCCTGAGTATTTCTAAGATCGATTTTTTAAAAAATCTCTTATCACTGGCATTTTCTCTTTTCTCCAGAGAGGAAAATTTTGATCTTTTTTTTCCCCCCCTCCACCTTGCTGAAATTTAGAATGGTATTCTCAGCATGTTCTAGAACACTGGTGGCCAGAATGTATCATAAGTCATTTATGAATTCAACTAAACCACCAAAAGCACATGCATTTGAAAATTACCATAAAAGAGAACAGATTCAAGATTATCCTATGAAATGTCTTTTTTTTTTTTTTTTGTTTAGCCTACTTTCCTTTAGAGCTCTTCTTTGAATGGGAAAGAAATTTTCTGATTGCAGACATTATTACAGTGCTCAGGAGCTGTTTTACAGTTCCATTTCCATTTTCCCTATTGATAAAATTGTGCTTGAGCTAGAAAGATGCCAGGAGGGCTTCCATTTGTCATAACACAATAGTTATTACTCTATAAATGGCAGCCAAAATGATGCATCAAAAGTGTTCAGTAATGGTACTGTGGTTTTAAAAAAGAATCAGATTATTTAATTTTTCAGCAGTCCACACTTGATCCTCTTGCCATATTATCTGCATTTCCTAGGAAGTAGGAGTTAAAAAATGAATCATTTAAAAACTTGAAATATTTTCAAAGTATGATGGTTTTATTTTTATAATAGTCACAGGACTGATCATTTTATAATTCCTTACTTGTAAATGTTCTTGAATGTATTCCCTTCTCCAAAAATGCTTATGCCTCATGAGTTGTTAATGCTCTGTGTTCGTGTTCCTGGAGAACCCGGTGCCCAGAGGGGTTTCCTCAGGCTTGCTTCCTAATTGAAGGCATCCTTGTCTTGAGCCTTGGTGGCAGTAATATGTTGTGCCTTCCTGTTAGCAGATAGTGCAGCCGTGTGCTGCGGCAGCAGCGGCAAGGGTGATCCTGTCCTCGGAAGCTACCCTCCCAAATCGGCACTTGCTGGCAGAATGAGTCTCACCATGGTTTGGAACTTGAGTCACAGGAGGAACCTTAATCAGCATAGCGAGGTGGACAGGCAGGCTGCACTTGGGGCTCAGATTGCTAGAGTTTCAATTCATTTCTTTTGCCACCGGTCACCTTGCAGATCCCGCCTGTGCCTCAGTCACTGCAGCAAAATTAAGATGCTGAATACATGGCATGATTGCTGGCATATGATAAGCACTGAACACATCAGCTATAGAGCCAGCATGTATTATGGAGTCAAGGATGTACGGGCAAAGACCAAAGAGAGGGGTAAAAATTTCCTTCCCCAGGGGACACAGCCTGACTGCTGGGCCAGTCGCCTTTGTATTGGAAGACTCTTTTGGCCTCAATTCCCACTAAGTTCTGGTCTCCACTTGTAGGTCAGTCACTGAGACAGAAATAGAGAAACTGCTCACCATTTATAAATTTTCTTTTCTCTTTATAATTCAGAAGGTATTTTTGGTGCCACTCTGTGGAAACCAAGTGGAGGATTTGTGGGGGATATAAGACCAAGATTCAGTCTCCTCCTAAAACCCATCTAGGGAGGGGAGGGGGTGCTGGCATCTGTGGCCATGGTGCGAGGCATCAGTGGTCCTTCCTGTGCCTCTGACTGGATTGGCTGGGACGTGGGATAGGTGAGAGGGAGGGAAACTGACTTCTGTCCATCCTCGTAAGAATGTACTCACTTAAATAAGCATGTAGGGGGCTGGGGATTTAGCTCAGCGGCAAAAGCGCCTGCCTGGCAAGCGCAAGGTCGTGAGTTCGGTTCCCGGTACTGGAGAAAAACCAAAACCAAAAAAAAATAAAATAAAATAAGCATGCGCCTCATCCCCAAGGTCAGGGCCAGACTCATTCTAGGGGCTGGGGAGTGCCCTATGCAGAGATGGGATAAAGGTGTGTGCATTGGTTGTAGCAGCAGCAAAGGACAAGCCACAAAGGCTGTAAAGGAGAAGAGCTGCCATATGATAGGGCTTGGGTCGAGGCAACTGTCCAAGAATGGGACTGCTAGTTGCGGTCACGCCCTCCCAGCTGGGACTGATTTTCTGGAACCAAAGATAGAGGCAGAGCTGTCATAGACAGCTGTCAGTGAACAGTGCAGTGGCTTCTTCAGCTTGCCCAGAGGGGACAGCTGGACTGTATTGCAAGAGGACTGTATTGCAGTCACATCACCACCAATGCTTGAACGGCTTTATCCAGATTGGCAAAAGAACAGATGTGACCTAGGTGTACAACCAAGTCTCCAAAGAGACCTTGAACTTTGCACCCACCACTGGACTTCATGACTTTGCTCCAAGCCACCACAGGCTATGAAGAGGATGCCTGGCCTGCCATGCCACCAAGGGGAGCAGCACGAGTCTACAACAGTCTTGTGGCTTGTTGTTTAGGAGTGTGATTGTCTATAGGGTTGAAGGGTGGGAGATGTGATCAGTGAACAGGGAGGCACCCATAGGGTGCTTTGCAGAGTTGTCAATTAGTCTGTTAAATGGGAGAGGACATCTTTCAATGACTGGGGAGAACCACGAAGGGAGAAGTAGGTAGAGGTAGGGAGAAATAGTTAATGAGACACCTGTTGGGTGGGAAATGTCCACATAGCAGAGAAGCTGGGGACTTTCTAAAGTTCCCTAGAATTTAGACACGGCAATGGAATGGACGGAGTCTTTTGACTCAGTGGTGCGATGTGCTGTTAGGTGCATGAAGTGAACTTGGAAAGATGACATCAGGGCGGGGCGGGGCACAGCACTGACCTGTAACCTGGACTTGGAAGTGTTCACTTAGCTGATGATATATTTCTTTGATTTATTCATTCACTAAATATTCAGGGTAGTATGAACTTTACAAACAAAGTCAGTGAGATTGAAAGAATAATTTAACTTAATTTAGCTGACCTCTTGGGAAGCTGGTATTTTTGGTTGGGCCATGTTTAGATAAAGATCGCTCTTGTGGGGTTCTGAGAAGAACTAGTCAAGTTATAACATGGTTAAGAGTTTGATAGCCCTGCCATAACGAAGTACCACCAGCTGGGTGGGTTAAACATTTACAACGTGTTTTCTCGTAGTTCTGGAGCCTGGAAGTCTGAGATCACAGCAGGTGTGACTCTGAAGGCAGTGAGGGCAGGATCCCTTCCAGGCCTCTCTTCTTGGCTTGTAGGTGACCATCTCCTCCGAGTGACTTCACATCATCATCCTATGCCTGAGTCCCAATTTCCCTTTGTTATAAGCACTTCAGTTATATTGGATTAGGGCCCTCTGATGACTTCACTTCAATTTGATTCCGTCTACAATAACTCAGCTTTCTACTTACAAAGTTTTTCTCTTTCTTTTAAAGATTGTACCTGGCAAGTCAAAGCAAATGATCGAAAGTTCCACGAACAACCTCATTTTATGAACACTAAGTTCTTTTGTATTAAGAAAAGCAAATATGCGGTAAGTTGATTCCTAGATTGTTTTTACTGAAGCCCTGTTTTAGCCAGTCACTGTCACGGTTGCCTGCTTCGTGCCACACCTGCTTTCTAGGTAGCCATCAATCTAAGGCTATTGATAATTTTTGTTCTGTAGAATGTTTTTCGAAGTTTAACGACATTGAAGGTGGGTAGGGGTAACTTGAAACAAAACTAAACAGAATTATGTAAACTGAAACTGTCCTATGTATGTACAAAACTTCCTTAAAAGTACTTTATGAAAAAGTGTAGTATATTGTCACAGAAGCCTCATGTTTAGAAGTAACAAGTTTGAAATGAATCTTAACAATTTCTCTCTCCTTCCTCCACCTAGAATAGGTGCAGAAACTTACAGATATTTTCACCTTAAACCAGTGCAGAGGCGTAAAACTGTAACCCCACTTACTCAGCAGGCTGAGCCAGGAGGATTGAGAGTCAAAGCTAGTCTGGGCCACAGAGCAAGGCTCTTCATTAAAAAGATACTTTAACCAAAAAAAAAAAAAAAAAAAAAAAACAAAAAACCTTATCTTTGAAATACAATAGAGAGCATCTATCATATGGGCTTAAATTTTATAAAATAGCCAAGTATGTTGGTGCATACCTGTAATCCTAGTACTCTGGGAGGCTGAGGCAGAAAGATCACAAATTAAAATGCAGCCTGAGTAACTTAATAACAAAGACCCTGTCTCAAAAAAGCAAAAGGGCTAAGAATATAACTCAGAGTGAAGGTCCTGGCTTCGATCCCCCGTACTGCCATAAAAAGAAAAAAAAATGTTGTAAAGTGTCTGTTTTCATTTCTTAGCACTGCTGTAACCAAGTACCCAAACTAGGTGGCTTAGAAAAATAGAAATTTACCTTCTTACAGTTTAGGGGGCCAGAAGTTCATATTCAAGGTGTCAGCAGCGTTAGTTCTTTCCAGAGACTCTGAGAGAGTCAGTTCCACACCCCTCCCAGCTTCTGGTGGTTGCCCACGGTTTTGGGAGTTCCTTGGTCTACAGATACATCACTCCAGTCTGCGTCCCTGTGTGCAGTTTTGCTCTGTTTTATGGGTACCAGTGGGCAGCTGGTCTAGTACAACTTCATCTTAATTACGTCTGTAAAGATTCTACTTCCAAATAAGATCCTATTCACAGATAGTGAAGCTAGGTCTTAAGTATATCTTTTGGGGACACGAGAGCGACTGTCATCCTTGTATTATACAGCAGCTTCCACCCCCTTGCATTAACCTGTTCCTTTCCTGCTCTGCTCATGTTGACATCTGCCTTTGCCCATTTTCTAACAGGCTGTAACAGAGCAAGGCATCTGACAGCAGGCTCCGTGAGGTCACAGTCTGATGTCCGTATCTTGTTACTCTCTCTGACATAAGACTTCATGTAGTCATTTTGAGGCCTGGATAGAATTAAAAGCTTAAAAGGAATCTCAGTATCTTTCTGACTGGTGGATTATGGCCTGGGTCACTGTAGGCCATGGGACACAGAGATTTTTGCAGGTGTGTATACTCGATGTATGGCATTAGTTAGAATGACTTTCTTATTTTTCCAACAGAATAATGCAATTAAAACATACAAGTACAACGCATTTACCTTTCTACCGATGAATTTGTTTGAGCAGTTTAAGAGAGCAGCCAATTTCTATTTCCTGATCCTTCTTATCTTACAGGTAATGCTTTGTGGTATCTTAAATCTGTTGTGAATTCTGACAGCTCAATAATACCTAATGTGTGGTCACGCAGTGTGGATAATTTTGAAAGTGTTTCATATTAATGTTAGGCTTTTCTACCTAAGTAGTCACTGCTTCCTGCACAGAACAGGCTCAGTTTTTATTTGAACAGCGAAAGAGAACAAAGGAAAACATAATTTTATTTTTTAAAGTTAAATTTTGAACTGATGAGAGTGTTAAAGCTGGTAGCAATCCTATAATCCCAGCACTCGGGAGGCTGAGGCAGGAGGATTGTTGCAAATTTGAGGCCAGCCTGAGCTACAAAGTGAATTCAAGACCAGCCTGAATTACATAGTGACACCTGTTTCAAAAACAAAACAAAACAAAAAAACCAAAACAAAACTGGTAATCATGAAGTGAATAAAAATATAATCTTCAGAGTTATTTGTGCTTTAAAATTAAACCTAGTTTTATGCTTGTCATTTTTTTATTTGCCTAGCTTCCATAAAAGTATTATTGATTTTTATTAATATTTTAGTCATAAAGCTCATGTTATTTTGTCAACTACTTTTACATTAGAAAAGACTTTCTGATTTAAAAAAAATTATGGCAAAAAGTTTCACTTATTTGGATAGCAAGACTTTTTTATATGTAGGAACAGTTGCTATAATCAACTTATTTAATTTAGTGTTCAGAGTCAACCTTTAGCGGCCGAGGAGCTGCTTATAAAGACAGTGGATTGACTTTGCTGTACAAGGGGCTTGGAAGACAGACTAAGGAGCTTGGAAGACAGACTTCACCCACTAAGACTTTATCAGATGGTAGCGCGTGTGCCTTGGTGGGGTGGAGGATGCACTAAGTGAAGAGGAGTTACGGGGAGACACTACAGAGAAGTGGATCCTTCGCGGACTTGGTAGAATATCATACACGCTGGCTTAGGGCTGGGGGTGTAGCTCGGTGATAGGGTGCTTGCCTAGCGTGTGCAAGGTTGGGGTTCAATACCCAGAACCACAAGAAAAGACCTGTCTTATTGTAAAGGATGGTCCTACTATTAAAGGTGGATGTTTATGCAGAAGTGAACCATACAAGTAATAAGGAGCTGCTGTGTGGTCAGTGTGCCGCTTTTCCTTTACTTCCTTCTAGAAGGGAAAAAGGAAGATTCACAGTATGTGGGGAAGGATCTTTCTTCCAACCACACCCCAGTTACCTTTTGTTAAGGTGCAGCAATGCAAATTAGGGTAACAGTAATAGCCTAGGCAGCCCTTTACTTACCTTGTTACTTCACTTCTTAAACTCTGTGACGTAAGCCTCAGCATAACCTAATCTTTAAACTCAAGAGATACGCATTGGGATAACCTCTGTTTTGCAGAGCTCTGAGGCACACTGAGGTAGATAAAGTAAAACTGTTCAAAGTGCCAAAGTCTATATGAGTAGAGCTGGACAGGGCTGGACCCAGTTTAACTTCAAAAAATCACCACTTGATGTGACCCAGGGATTGACAGGATGGTCACAGATCATAATGAAACTGGCTTTCCAATCTTCCACTCAAATTGGGAGACTGTCTTGATGACGGTGAAACTTTTTTAACGACAGCCCCATTCTTGGCGGGACCAGTAGCAATAGCCATGAAAGGATTCCTTCCTTCAAATGCCACAAAGATATTCTACCTGGTTACTAGCTATCAGAGGTAGCCATCTGCTGCCATCTTGGTCTGTGTCATAAGACTCTCTGAAATCACTACCTTTGAGCAACCTGCTATGTGTAGCATATATACCTTTCCTAAAAGTTAAGGACTACTTTTCCCCCTACCCCATTCTAACCCCCTTAGTTAATTATGTTTTTCACAGAAAGTGCAGAGCAGTTCTCTTTTATGTTACAAAAGTTCTTTTTTTTTAACCATGTTATAAAACCTCCTGGATATCCAGTTAAAGTTACAATGGGATAATTTCAGAAACCACTGACCATATACAGGACCTGTTCTGTATGGCCAGAAGCTAGAGAGAAAGAGGTTGGTTGGCTGCTTACCTGCCTTTTCCGATACACATTGCAGGATGCAGACTTACGTGGTGATGGAAATTAGATTAGCAAACGTAGACTCAGCAGCCCGTTACCTGTAAGTTAGCTGTGTCTTCATGGGTACTTCACACAAGCCTTTTTATTTCTGTTAGGCAATTCCTCAAATATCTACCCTGGCATGGTACACAACACTTGTGCCCCTACTTCTGGTGCTGGGCATCACTGCTATCAAAGACCTGGTGGACGATGTGGTAAGGATTTCTCATGCAACAAGCCATTCAACTTTCTGACCATCTTTAACTTAGTATTAGTACTTATGTGGTGAGGTGATTAAAACATTTCTTCATTTTTCTTTAAAGGCTCGGCATAAAATGGATAAGGAAATCAACAATAGGACATGTGACGTCATCAAGGATGGCAGGTATGTTGCCTCCTTGAATTTGTAGTATAGTTACAAAGATATAATATACACATTTGTCTAGAAACAGAGTGAGTCATTAGTAAGTTCACTGTGAAGGCATCTCTTAACGTGCAGAATCACTCCATGATTGTGGCTCCGTATAGTTGCCAGTTGGGCTTGGTGGTATCTACACATCTGGCATTTACACAGCTCTTTCAGCTTTGGCGAGCTATGTCCACCTCTGCTGTTCTCAAACTCATCCCTTCGGGGCTTTGCTTATGCAGGATGTTTGACACCTTCCCGATCTGTCAGCAAAGTGATTTCTCCATTCCCTGTGCTTGAAGAACATTTGGTTTTTTTTTTTTATTATTATTATGATGATATGAATTGTATTAGAATTATTTTTGTAGGTACTTCTCCTTCTGAACTGAACTGTAATCTTCTTGAGGATGCTGTCCTACCTGCAACATGCAAGAAATGCCCAGTAAATGTTTGTTCAACAAATGTAGTCAGCTGTGACCAAGGTCCCAACTCAGATCAGCAGTGAGTGTTCTTTGAGCAAGAGCCTCAAGGCAGAACTGCAAACTCAAGTCCTAAAAATAGGGACTAAAACCCAGGTCAAAGACTTTTTAATGTGTTGATATTGAGGCAAAGACTTTTTAATGTGTCAATATTGAGGCAAATAACCTGAATATTTCCACCGCACTGAATTAAAAAATAGACACCACTAAGCCATAAATATGTTAACATGGTTTTTCTTCTTTGCAATAAATGGATTTCTGTGAGAAGTGTAAATGGGCATTTCTTATGAAGTTTCATACAAAAGTCAGTCATTATTTTACCAATATTCTTATTACTTGATTATAAAAGTGAGGCATAGTCAGTAAGAGGATAACTAGAACACAAGAGAGGATACCAGCTCTGAAGCCCATGCGGATTCTTGTGGCCCACAGGAAGCTACGCTGTGTTTTTGTTCTGGGAGCCGAGGAGCAAGTGGTGGGTGGCTGGAGGGAGAGAAGAGTAAAGGGAAGCAAGTCAGGAGCAAAAACAAAAGGGGGAGCACTGGCTCCCTGCCACATACTGAAACCCGCTGTGACCAGTGAGGCGGGGTACAAAGAACACAGCACCGCCATCTCACTGCTGTTGCTTCCTGCACGTGCGGTCACACTGTTAAAAGGGTGAACTGTTAGTGAGCATTTCCCCTGGGATTTACACATTTTCCAGAATCTTGGACATCCAGAAAGAATGATAATTCCCCCGCTTGAAACTGAAAACCCGATAAACTCCCCTTATTTTTAATACTTAGGTTCAAAATTACCAAGTGGAAAGACATTCAAGTTGGAGACGTCATTCGTCTGAAGAAAAATGATTTTGTTCCAGTAAGTGAAAGCATTCTGCCTCTCCTGTACCTATCCTCCCCCAGCCTGTACTCAGGTCACCCTGGGGACCCTGTGTCATAGGTGCTTTTGTTTTGAACAGGCTGACATTCTGCTGCTATCCAGCTCTGAGCCCAATAGCCTCTGCTATGTGGAAACAGCCGAGCTTGATGGGTGAGTGTGTTTCAGATGGGCCTATTTCAATATTGGCGTTGAAGGGATGCGCACGCTTCTGGTATCTGTGTGCGCCGAGCAGGAAACCTCAAGACCTGGCCTTACCTCTGCCACATGCCGGCAGTCCTACAGTGTCCTGCGTAAACTGGCTCTCTTTCCCCCATTACAGATGTTTGCCTTGCTGGAGTTTGGTATTACTTTGGCCCCATAGGTTTCTGTCCTTCCGTTCTTCCCTTTTGGAATGGGAATGTTTTACCTGTGCCATTACATGTCCACAGTGTTTAATTTTCTGTCAGATTTTTATAGGAGCTCCCAGGTAAGAGATTGCCTTAAACCTCAGAGGAGACTTGGGACTTTGATGTTTCAGCAGTGCTGACAGTGTAAGGACTCTGGCAACTCTTAGAGATGTGCTAAATCCATTTTACACAAAGGGGGGCACATGAGTCTTTTAGGGACCAGGGGCAGAATGTTACGGTTTAGATCTACGTGTTCCCCCAAAGCCTCCTGCGCTAGTAGGTGGGGCATTTGGGAGGTGGTTGGACCATGGGAGAATTGATAGTCGTCAGTGGATTCGTCTACTTGTGAGTTTATAGCTGATTTGCTGTTAGAATGTGGGATCTGATCGGGAGAGATGGGACAGTAAGGCTTATCTCTTCCTGCTTATCTCTTCCGGCTCCTCCCCCTGCATTCTGTCTGTGGGTGTGGGTATTATGTCACAGCAACAAAGAAAGTAACTAAGACAGATCTGTCTTAGATCACTGTGACACAATACCTTGTACCCGGAATATAAAGGAAGAGAGAGGGTTACTTTGGTTTGTTTTGGTTTACAGCTTGTAGGGGTTTTAGTCCATCATGGGCTGCCGAGTCAGGAGAGGGTGGCAGAGTGGATGGCAGAGGAAGTAGAGAGGATGTGTTACATAAAAGGCATTTAGTCCATCTCGAAGAGTTTCCCAAGTCCTCACAGCTTCAGCACTGCTGAAAAGTCCAAGTCCAAAGTCTCCTCTGAGATTTACGGCATCTCTCAGAGTTCGTAGTCCCTGTCTTTGCCCACTCTGCAGGGAGGGTAAAAGCCCAAATGGGAAGTAGATGCTTGGGCTCTTTAGAAACTGCTGAGGAGTGTCCAGAGGAATGGGAATGACTGGATGTTACTGGATTCAGAGATGAAAATAGGGTTTTTAAGTCTTTACCAATAAGCAATTTTGAATTTTCTTTTTGTTGTTTTTAGCTATTCTGCCAAAACCTGAAAGAGAATAAGGTTCTGATTTTGACCAGTTTTCATTACATTTATTGAGTGATTACAAGGTTGTAGGTGCAAAATTTAACTTTAAAAAATAAAATTATATTTTCCTTTGTTCTCTTTCCCTGTTCAAATAAAAACTGAGCCTGTTCTGTGCAGGAGGCAGAGACCACTTAGGTAGAAAAGCCTAACATTAATATGAAACACTTTCAAAGTTATCCACACTGCGTGACCACACATTAGGTATTATTGAGCTGTCAGAATTCACAACAGATTTAAGATACCACAGAGCATTACCCTGCTCCCTGTGCTCCTTGTCCCTCATACCCTAATGCTACATTCACTAATTTTGAGAGCTAAAATCATGCGAGTGAAAACATAGGCCTTTCCTCCCTCTGTTGATGAGTCAGTTGACAATTCAATCTCAGCTACACAATAATTGTAAATCTCACTGGTCAGAGATTGTAAAGGCTTACAAAGGTATGAAATCTAATAGGTCCTGTCAGAACAGAGTAGTGGTGCTGGGAGCCATTGGTCAGTTTCCTGATATGAAGAGATTCTTTTTTTTTGTCTTTTTGAGACAGGGTCTCACTATGCAGTTCAGGCTGGCCTTGAGCTCACTTTGTAGCCCAGGCTCGTCTTGAACACACAACGATCCTCCTGCCTCAGCCTCCCGAGTGCTGGGATTACAGGCATGCGCCACCACCCCTGGCACGTAGAGATTCTTGAGTGAGCCTCTGTGAGGCCTGTGAGGGGCCGGCCATGGTGACAAAGCAGCCTTGCTCCCGAGAGTGTACGCCCTGGCCTTCCCCTATGTGTCCACTCACAGTGACCTCCCCTTGCACTAGGGGGGGGACAGGCCAAATATTGGGGTTGAGGCTGCCACCTCCTTTCCCCAAATCCAATTATTCAGTCTAGAAAATAAGCTGACAAGAAGTTAAGCAGAATGCCTACAAGATTTCTTTCCTTCCTTTTTTTTTTATTAGTATGTTTGCAATAAATAGTAAATTCATTCATCATGGAGGAAAAAAAAATATATATATATAATTTGTTTTAATCATCTTAGTGTGGTAAAATATTAGAGGCTACATTTTCAAACAGTAGTTTGGTTAACAGGTAAGGAGAAGGAGATAAGTTAATGAGAAGGATGTTATGGGTGTCTTATCCTGAATGTCACAGTAGCAAACAGCAAAGGTGACCAGCATTTCCCAGGTCAAGAATTTTCCTCTAGTTTAGAGGGTAACCTCATCCAAACTTGGAGTTTCAAGATGAACGAAGAGTATAAAGCTAGAACAGGTTAGGGGCTGAGGATGTAGCTCGGTGGTAGAGCACTTGCCTAACATATGTAAGACTCTGGGTTCAATCCCAGAACTGGAAGAAAAAAAAAAGCCTAAGCTAATGATTGAGCCCTCACACCTAGGTATGCTTAATGTTACCTTTTCTGTGCTATTTACATTCTCTTTTGAAGTCTAAAATGTGTTCATGTAATTATTTTTCCCCTTCCTTTAGAGAAACCAATTTAAAGTTCAAAATGGCACTTGAAATCACAGACCAATATCTTCAAAGAGAGGACACTTTGGCAACATTTGATGGTTTGTACAAAACATGTCTTACTTTGTTTTAAATTTTAGTTGCTTGATTCAGTCCATTAATTAAAGCCAGAAAATCCTTCCTATGTGATTATTAATGTGAGTCATGTCTTCTTAAAGGTTTTATTGAATGTGAAGAACCAAACAACCGACTAGATAAGTTTACAGGAACACTATTTTGGAGGAATAGAAGTTTTCCTTTGGATGCCGATAAAATTCTGTTACGTGGTTGTGTGATTAGGAACACCCATATCTGCCATGGTTTGGTCATTTTTGCAGGTACTTTGAGATTTTCTTGGGAAATTGATCTGCTATGAGCTCTTAAGATTTAAAGGAAGAAACTGCTTTTCTGTCCTTTTTTCATTAAAGCCAAAGGAAGAGTAATTATATTGACATGCTGGTTAATTGATTTACCCAATTGTTGATCAGATTGAATTTTCCATTTTTAGGTGCTGACACTAAGATAATGAAGAATAGTGGGAAAACCAGATTTAAAAGAACTAAAATTGATTATTTGATGAACTACATGGTTTACACGGTATTTATTTTCCATTTCAGTTGACAAGAAGCTAGACTGTTGTCTTTTGCTCTGATTTTGTTGTATACTTCTCTGGTGCAAAAAAATGTTGCCTCCTTAGATGGGGTAGAAAAATCTTGGACAAGCTCAGTGAAGCTAGGCTCCTGAGGCAGAGCAAGCTGGATTTTATTGCTGTCAGTCCCATATACGCAGTCTTCTTAAAATCTTTTTGTCCAACATATACTGTATAAATCCAAATATAAGGCAAGACTAAAATTAAGTTGTGTTGAGCATCTTCAGGCCACACGCAGGTTCATTGATGGACCAGGAGGACTCATACAATTTACTGTATGGTTACACTCACAGCTGTGATTTACTACAACAAATTGCTACAAACCAAAATGAGCAAAAGACTCATAGGAAACCAGGCACAGGCTCCCAGTGGAGTCACACACAAGAGATTTACTTCCCCTCAACAAAAATTTGTGACATCACATGTGAAATGTTGTCTTCCAGGGAAGCTCACTAGACTCTTACCCAGGATTTTTAACTGGGGACTGGTCATGTAGGCACCATCTGCCTGGTGTTCACCAAAATTCAAGACTTGGAATGCAGGTGGTCAGCACAAACCGTGCTGTCTGCACAGTTGGGCACAGTGAACTGTTCTCATCAGAGGAAAAGAAATAAGGAACCAGAAAACCTTCCCAAGATTGAATGCCAAGCAAAGGCCAACCTTGAAAAAAGGCCTTTTGAGAAGGGAAATCTCAGTTCTTCTGTATTAGTGCCTTTTTTTTTTATGGTGAGCCTGTATATTAAACAGACCTCCAACTTCCTATTCTCAAATTTTTCATTCAATTTAAATACATAAACTCCTAGGGACTTATAATAATTATAATGCTTTATTGTGTATACATATTGAAAATCACATAAAAGTAATATATTAATTTAAGGAAGAGCTCTTTTTCCTCTGCTCTCGTATTTCATGAAAATTTTCCTTGAATTTGACTGTTCTTCTTCACTGTCACCAAGAGGATCATGACTTGAGCCCTCATAAAGAGTCCATCATCTCTCTTCTGTGACAAGTTGTTTTGATACATTGCACTTTTGAAACATGGGTTTAGAAATTTAATGTTGTCACTGGAAATTTTATTTTGTTTCAAATACTGTACAAAATACTATTAGGACAGTTAACTTTTTAATTTGCCCCATAAGTATATACTCATCATTTCTACAATGTAGAATTTATTGTATTCCTTCTCAAGTGATCTTATTTGCAATACCATGCAGTCTTTTTTTTTTGTTTGTTTGTTTTGTTTTGTTTTGTTTTTCTCCGGTACTGGGAACCGAACTCACGACCTTGCACTTGCCAGGCAGACGCTTTGCCGCTGAGCTAAATCCCCAGCCCCTACCATGCAGTCTTTATGACATTGTACCTTCAGAAATAACTACCCAAATGTGTTGATAGTTCCACTTTAAAAAAAAGTAATTTCCATCCAATATTTTTATAAGGAACCCAATTTATCATAGTTTGAAGTTGTTTCATGCTAAAGAAAGCTGTTTTCCCAAGCAGTATGTTATTGTTCAAGGTAAAAAATAATTAAGAGAATACCTTATAATATGAAAATCTTAAAGGATTTGAATATAAGATAATACCTTCTCTATTAAAAGCTAATTCTGGGAATAAAACCTGACCATATACATATAATATAGAATGAACCAATCACTCCTAGCCATCAAATAGACTTTCAAACCATTCTTACGATACTGTTTCATTTGAAGTATATTAATTTTGCAGACTATTAAGTTACGATAAACAAGCATAAAGTATTAAATAATGTCAGTTAACACCAGCAAAATGCACAGGGTTGGAACTTCGTCCTTAGAATACTTGTCATTGTTTCCTGCCTTGTAGATCTTCGTTGTTCTCATCCTGCTCTCTGCTGGCCTTGCCATTGGCCATGCTTACTGGGAAGCGCAAGTTGGCAATTCCTCTTGGTACCTCTATGATGGAGAAAATGCCACTCCCTCCTACCGTGGATTCCTGAATTTCTGGGGCTACCTCATCGTTCTGAACACCATGGTACCCATATCTCTCTATGTCAGGTAAGGCTATCTTCTTGGCCTCTTGCTTTCAGGGAAGACTACGGTATCTTGTCCCACTTTATCACCTTCGTGTCTAGCAGTAATTGTTTCAAAGGTCAAAAGGAACAAGTAAGAAAATAACTTCTACTTTAAAACTGATGGTAAGCCCGGGGAACAAAATGAACCTTTGAGTGTCTGTCGGTGCCAGGCACCTGCTGTTTATTTCCTTTGCAGATAAGGGCCTGGTGTTCAGAGGTCAAAGGCCATGATCATTTACTCGATAAGATTCCTTCTTAGTGTGTTCCGAGGCCAGGTGTCAAAAAGAGCCAGGGAGAAAGTGAAGATACACATTGTCATGGAAACACTGACCTTTCCTTTATAGGATCCTTCCTACCCTCTTAGGTGAGCCTGGCTCGTTACCATCTGCCACACCTGCGTGTGCTTGCCACACTTACGGCCTTTCTGCCGCGACCCCCTGGCAGGGAGGTCTCTGCCTTCCTCCAGCCTCTCACAAGGTTCTGCTCCTCATCACACTGTCAGTCTCGACCACAGCAGAGGATCAAGGTAGCATCTCTGACAGGTGTCGCTCACCTTGTTCGGAGATGTTTCTTCCTTTTCTTTCTTTTTCTTTCTTTGATATTAGAGTTCACTGTCACTGGCCAATTGGATTTTAGGTCTCTGAGGAAGGAAATGTGCCTTGGAATATACTTTGCAGTCACAGGCAGTTTTTAGTTCCAGTAAATAATAGTCCAGAGGCACATAGGGTCCGTCCCCACCCCTGTAATTAGAAGCGTTTAATTTTATTATGTGTACATTTGTTTTGTTTTTAATTTTATTACATGTAATTACTGTTGTTCTATTGATGGGAAATAAGCCTTAGGGCAGCCATCTGTCCCCACAGCTCCTTTAAAGACTAAAAATAATGAATGTTACCCTCATTAAGGGAACTATCTATTACACAGACTTTGTATAAAGCTATCGCTGTATGCTGTAAAATAAACTCTATACTGTATAGAATTTGGGGTTAAAGAGTTATACTGCATGGTTAATGCAATTCTTTTATGTCTCTCGGATAGTAATCAAGGTTCTTCTAAGGCATAAGTCATACTAAGTCGTTCCAGAGAGTATCTCTGCTTTGTCTTCCACCCCATGGGTGCTTTCCAGCTCCTTCAGAATTGAATCATTGAGGCTGCAGTATTACCCCCAAGACCCAACAGGATCTGCCTGCCTCTGAGGCCCTGCCACTCCTGGTCCCTTGATGTTCCTTCTGCCCTAGGATCTTTTTCCCTACTCTTATCTTTGCCTGGAACATTCTTTCTTAGATAGATACATGCTGCTATCTCATTTTCTTTAGGCCTTTGCTCAGATCTCACCTTATCACCCTGGCCTGTCCAGATCCATCTGATCTTAACCATTGCTTCTCTTCCCTCTTGGTTTCCATCTCCCCTTTCCCTGCTTTGATTTTCTGCAGAGAACTTTCAGGACCTGATAGAATATGGACTTATTGGGGCTTTCAATGTAGTTGTCTTTACTACAAGGTAACCTGCTTAAAGGCAGGGACTTCAGCTGTCTTGTTACTCATGTATACTCAGTACCAGCTACAGTGTTTGGTGTTTAGTACATATTAGGACATATTTACCAAAGAGAGAGAGGGAAGGAGAGTTATTTTTCCTGTCTTTTTAACCTGTTGCAAAAGCATACATTGCCTATTTGACAATTGCTACATATATAAACAGCCTCCTAATACTGAAATATACTTAATTCCATGTTGGTTAATTTTTGTTTTTTTTTGGTACTGGGGATGGAACCCAGGGACACACACATGCTAGGCAAGTGCTCTACCACTGAGCTACATCCACAGCCCCTTATAGTTTTAAAATTGAGAAAATCTTTTTAGAATATCTTATTTTGGACATTCTATAATCTTTTAAGAGGAGAATATATTTATTAAGGGAAAGAAAGCTTCTGTCTGAGAGAAAGCAGAAGGGGACCCGAGAGGGTTGTCAAGGAACCTGTCTTCCCTAGGGGTTTTATAGAGCAAAACCTCGGGATGAAGTGGGTCCAAGGTGGAGAAAAAATGGGAAATCACAAGGTGGGCATGAGTGGCACAAAACTATGGTCAGCCAATAAGATTATGAGTATAACTGCTCAAGTAAACTTGATTAAATCAAAATCAAATAGAGAAGCAAGTTAGGTAGCAAGTGGACCTATAATCTTTTAAGATAGAAAAAATATATATACTTTTTCCACAATGAGGGGTAATGATTTAGGAGTTATTTGCCAATAGACTATTGCCCTATTGGAGAGCATGTGGCAGTCTGTCTCCTCCTGTGCTGTCGTCTTTGCCCTACACTTGGGGTGAAGATCAACACAGCCATCTTAGCTGTCCCTGAGTGCAACATGGAATGAGAGGGAAGAGAGGAAAGACGGCATGCCTGTGGCACTGTCTGCAGGGTCACCCTGTTGCCCATTTCTTTGGGCTGTGTTCTGAACATGGAACTCCATGGCCTAATGTGCAGGAGTGAGAGGAATTCGTCCTGAGCAAGTGGCTTTGAAGAACACTATTATTCTAAAGCCTCTTGACTCTGTAGCTAGGGAATATTTGGTGAGGACACCTCAAGACTGAGCACACGGGCTACAGCACGGCTTAGCCTCCCAAGAGCTGGGATTATAGGCATGTACCATCACAACTGGCTTTAAACCACGTAACGTATAAATACAAATATAGAGCTCAGAGTTTGAGGGAAATCTTAGGCATATTTGGTGTCTGGTGAAGACTCACTCCCTGCTTCATAGGTGGCAGCTTCTTTCTGGATCTTCACATGGCAAAAGGGGTAAATAAGCTCCACTAGGCCTCTTTCATAAGGACGCTAATCCCATTCATGAGGCTTTTGCTTTCTGACCTAACTACTTCTGAAAGGCCCAACTTCAGTACTGTTGCGCTAGGGATTAGGTTTCAGCATATGGGTTGTTGTGGGGGGGGGGTACAATGTTCAGTCTGTGGCAGTAGATAAGCAGCTCACTCCTGTAAGCACAAGTGAGGTAAAATCTACCACTTGCCATTCACATCTAAGTGCTCCATACAGCATCATCTTTTGTCTTCGTAGTGTGGAAATAATTCGTCTGGGACAGAGTCATTTCATTAACTGGGACCTGCAGATGTACTACTCTGAGAAGGACACACCCGCAAAGGCTAGGACCACCACGCTAAATGAGCAGCTCGGGCAGATCCATTATATCTTCTCTGATAAGACGGGGACACTCACGCAAAATATCATGACCTTTAAAAAGTGCTGCATCAATGGGCAAATCTATGGTGAGTGTGAGTACACAAGAGCGAAAAGTCCCTTTCACAAGTGGACTGCAAGCTTGGATAATCTTTTCCATGAAATAATTTCTGAGATAAGCTTTCACTGACTAGACTCAGATCTATCTAAAATACAAGGCATGGTTGGCTGTTGAAGTAGGGTAGAAGAATCATTCCCCCAGTACTGCCTGGGGCTGAGCCTGCCTCCCAAGAGTGGCTAGTGCCCTTCTGTGTGGGCCCTACTGCTGTGGTCATCCCCAGCCGAGCTGTAAATGAGCACTGTGAGCACTGTTGGGGAGACCTGTGCAACAAAATTAACTGTCAGAAGTAGGCACACCTCTCTCCACTTAAAAACTGAAGTACCAAATGTCCTGGCAATTAAAATTGTAAGAGTCTACTAAGCTGAAAGGAATTAAAACAAGGGCCCAGAAGGATATGTGTACATCCATGTTCAGAGCAGTACTGTTCACAATAGCCAAAAAGTGGAAACAACCAAATGTCCATGAGGAGATGAATGGATAAGCAAGATACAGTACATATAAACAAAGGAATATTATTCAGCCTTAAAAGGAAGAAAATTCTAACCCATTCTATAACATGGATGAACCCCTGGGGCACTGCGCTAAATGAAATAATCCAATCATAAAAGTCAAATACTGTATGATTCTAATTAATCAAACTCATAGAAACAAAATAGAATGTTGGTTACTGAGGGGCTAGGGAATAGGGAATTGCTATTTAATGGGTATAAAGTTTCAATTATGTGAGATAAAAACAGTTCTGGGTTTAGATGGTGCTGATAGTTCCATAGCAATGTGAACATACTTCGTGCTGCTGGACTGTACCCTTACATATGACTGCAGTAGGAAATTTCATATTTTGTGTGACAATTTTTTAAAAAGTTGATTCCATTTAAATTTTCTGAAACACAGTTATGGTTACAAATAATACTAACACTAATACTACTAATGCAAATAATACTAATACTACTAATACAAAAAATCCTAATAATACAAATAATACTAACACAATATATTGAAATAAGAGTGCTCTGACTTTTAAATAAAGACCTCACTTAAAAAAAAAAAAAAAAAAAAAGGATACAGGCACGTGCATAGTCTTTCCACTTAGAGAAAACTTTTCTCTGAGTATGTTTTCACATCAGTGAGGAAGATGGGCACTGGGGTGGACGATGTGGTCCCATGAGTGGTGGCAGTCCTTCTAGGAGAGTTAGATAAAGCATTTGAAAGCCCTTGATTCCGGTCCCAGTGGAGTATAGAAGAACAGGCACCAGTATTTGAACAGCCAGACCAAGGGACAGCAAACTTCTCCTGTGAAGAACCAGGTGGTAAATAGTTTAGCCTCTGTGGGCCATATATGCTCTGTATCAACTATTCTTATTTTTCCCAACTCTTAAAAAACATGCAAACCACAGTTAACTCCAGAACCATCCAAATACAGACTATGAGACCCCCACCCCCACCATGTATGCAAAGCCAGGTCAGAGAGGCCTCTGGACACAGGTGAAGACTCAATTTGTTTTGTCTTGTTTCTCAGGAGACCATCGAGATGCTTCTCAACATAGTCACAGCAAGATAGAGGTGAGTTCTTCAACGTAAGGATCTGTTCGGGATGTATATTCATTTCCTAGAGCTGCCTTAACAAGTTATTGCAAACCGAGTGGCTTAAAACAGCAGAAATTTGTTCTCTCAAAGTTGTAGAGATCAGGAGCCTGCAGTCAAGGTGTCAGCAGAGTGGGAGTTCCAAGGAAGCATCCTTTCTTGCCTCTTCCTGGGGACTGCTGGCTGCCAGACATCCTCGGTGCTCTCTGGCTATTACAAGGCTCCAACCTCTACTCTGCTGTCACATGGTGTTCTCCCTATGTCTTCAGCTCTGTGCTCCAATTTCTCTCTTACAAGGACAGCTGGCCTCCTATCCCAATCCCATATGACCTCATCTTGACCACATCTGCAGAGACCCTATTTCCAAATAAGGTCATGTTCACAGGACCTGGGGGTTAGAACTTCAACATATTTGTTGGGGGACATGGGTCAACCCACTGCAGGGTGCTTTTTGCTGTAAGACAGGTGTAAGCCTCTAACACTTTAGTCAAGAATGTGCTCAAATCTTAAGATGACTTTTGCATAATTAAAAATTTCAAAGGGAGGTTTATTCGTATCAGTTGTGAATACAGGAATATTTTTCTTAAATCGCATTTCCTTCTCCACTTCTTTCAGCAAGTTGACTTTAGCTGGAATACATTTGCTGATGGGAAATTTGCATTTTATGACCATTATCTTATTGAGAAAATCCAATCAGGGAAGGAGCCAGAAATCCGGCATTTCTTCTTCTTGCTTGCAGTCTGCCACACAGTCATGGTGGACCGTACCGACGGTGAGTGTTCCTCTGACATTGTAGGCCTCTGAGGCCAGCTTTTCAGTTTGCTGGTGACTCATGCTCATGACTCAGATGTATATCAAATAGTAGGCATGATAAGTCTGTCTCAGTCATTCAAGCCATGGGTATTGGAGAGCACCTGCAGTTAGAATGGAATAACAAAGCCCGAAACAAGATTTTCTCCGGAAGTTTAAAACCAGTTCATAGCTGTAACCCTGATTTTATCACTTTGTTAATGCAATTTTATCATTAAAAGAAATGGCTGGCTCTTGAATTATAATAGAAGACTAGAAATCTTTCTACTATATGATACTTTATTGAGAATGTAAAATCAGATCTTATCTACATCACAAGTGAACTTTAAACTTAATCTTTTGTGCAATGATTTTGGAGATTTCTTTTATTGCTTAAATTCAGATATGCTTTGCTGGAAATTTTATCAGCCAAAGCCTGGGTCCCTTTAAGCTGCCTTTCTCATTTGAAGGACCATAATTAATGTGAATTTGCATGGGAACAAGTAATGCTGACATTTAGGTTCCTGGACAGAATTTTTAAATCCAGTTTGTATCAGCTCTGTTACTGCAAGTTCATCTGTATCAATGAAAACCAGTCATTTTCTCACATATGGGCATAACGAATTCTATAGATGCATCTGTGCATTGTAAAATGAGCACAGGGAATTCTTCTGATATAGCTATAATTAAGCACAGACATTTCATTACTCACTTCCTTCATTCACTTCATTCTTTTTTTATGTTGTCACTGTTTTCTTTTATGGTCCTGGGGATTGAACCAATGGCCTTTGCACTGAGCTACATTCCCAGCCCCTTGTTTTTGAGACAAGGTCTCCTCATGTCACTAAGTTGCCCAGGCTGGGCTTGAACTTGTGATCTTCTTGTCTCAGCCACTCAGAGTGCTGCAATTATAGCCATGCACCACCATGTCTGGCTCATTCTTTCCTTGTTACTTCAGACACTGAGGCATAGAGAAGTCCCTCATGATGAGGTTCCAGCCGTGATATTTCATAATAGATAAGAAGTCTCAGAGAAGGAATATGCATAAAAAGTGAAATGTGTAGAAGCCATACATGATGTCTTTCAGCAAGTTTCAAAGAAACCCATTCTCCAATGATAACCTAATAATGTAGTGCAGTGAGACTGCAGGGTCCAAACTAGGATGGACCCATGGGAGAGGCTGTTGGCAGCGAAGAGGGGAGGGGAGGAAAGGGATGATACCAGGTCACAAGTTGCCCAGGAAGAAGTCACTTTGACTAGCTCAGCAAATTTTACTTGTAGAATAAAAACTATGACATTTAAAGCATCTTGGTTCATTTTGATTCATCAGTAAAATTATTTTTATTCTTCAAGTGTATGGTGGTATTTTGAGAGCTAAATGGTCGACTTAAGAAAACGTAATACCATTTTTACAGGCGGTGCACACCTGTAATCCCAGCACTCTGGGAAGCTGAGACAGGATAATTGCTAGTTACAGCCCAGCCTGGGAAACTTAGCTAAATCCTGTCTCAAAAGTAAAAAATAAGAAAAGGACTGGGGACAGTGGGTTCAATCCTGTGCAGGAATTGGGGGGGATTATATACAGTATACCATGTCTATATTTTTTTTCCCATTATACTATTAGTAACAAAGCCCTGGACTGTGTACTAGAGGTGAGCCAGCCCAGTTTTGGTTGCTGTCTGAGCGCCAGCTTCCTCAGTGCTGCAGTAAAAAGGCTGGACGTTCAGAATCCCTTCAGCATCACATTCTGCAGCTGTCCTGCTGTCAGCTGAGGTAAAGGGTTGAACATGCTGAGTACTCTTTCTTCACAAGCAGAAAGAGTCAAGCAGTTGACTCTGTAAATGACAAGCAGTTGCTCCAGCTACTGCGAATGGAGACAGGGTGAATTCCTTGGCACAGGAGGTTAGATAAGAAATTGGCTTGACTTTTGATCCATAAAGGACCATAAAAGACTTCTTTGAAAGGGACCTTAGAGACTACACACCTCTGATTTTAGAGCTAAGGAAATCCAGGCCCAGAAAGCAAGAGGGACCTGCCTGAGGTCTTCCAGCACGTGCAAACTCATCCTAGTACAGCCTTGCATAATGTGGCTGCCCCTTCACAGTAAGGTCTTCTTTTCTGTCTTTTATAAGAATAAAGAAGATTGCTTTGTTCTCTGTATTATGCATAGCATCATCAAGAGGAAGGACATCCTTTCACATATGTGGCCAGGAACATGTGACCTCAGCAGATGATTTGTGTGGCCTGAATGTTGAGTACATAAAGAGATCATAATGAAGAGGCCACGTTAGTTTCCTGTTGCTTTAGTCAATTAATACAATTCAGGCACTTGAGATACCCACATATCTCTCTAGGTCAGAAATCTGGGCATGACATGACTGGCTTCTCTGCTCAACATCTCACTAATATCAGGGTCAGATTGTGTGCTTACCTGGCGCTCAGTGTCTTCCAAACTCATTCAATTAGGGTAGGATTCAGCTCCCTGTAAAAGGACTGTGGTCCCCATTTCCCCGTGGGCTTTCAGCTAGACTTAGTTGGCCTCAATGCTTACCAGTCCGTCCCCTCCACCTTCAGTGCCAGGGACCGAGACTCCTGCTCTAGCAGAGGTCATGGAAGCATAGAGCCTGGAAGGCTTGGAAGCCTCTCCTTCCTTGGAGGTCTTTAGAGAACTCACTTCACAAGGCCTCTGCCTCATATTGGGTCTGATATGCTGGAGCAGAAAGAGAAAGGAATTTGAATAAAGAGAGAGACAAAAAGTGGCATTTGTGGTTTGAGTGTATTTTTTGTTGGCGTCAGTTTTCATGATAACAGAGGTTAGTCTGTAAAAAATGGTCTTTCTGGTTGCCTCTAAAGGTGCAGCACATGAAGAATTTTCTTCAAACGGTTATTAGTCTAAGCATCTTCCTACAAATATAAAGTTGAAGTTTGGACCAAGTCTCTGAGGTTTTTTTTCTTCTCTGTTAGTCTGCAAGTTTCTGATTCTATTACCAGAAGGTAGTGGAAGGATTTTCTTTTTCCTATAATGATACAAATGTCAGGTGTTGGCTTCAGATAGGATTGTCCCACTCATGGTCATGTTACCGCCTTTCATTATTTTATTTCTTCTCTCTGTTGGAAGTAAGCTTGCTGTTAATATTATGTAAGGTATCGCTGTGCCAACTAAAATTGTGAAGGGAGGTGTTTTGTTCTTGCTGCTGCTTGCTTAGCTCTGGGTAAACAGTTTGCCTTCTGGCATTTGTGTATGTTTATGGAATGGCTGGATTTAGCAAGGACATTTATACTTTCAGGGTGAACAAACAGAAAGCAAGCCTACAGTGTCATCTTTAATTACTAGTTGGAAGTGCTTAACACTGACTTAGAATGAATTATCTGAGCCAGCACAAGAAGGAAGGAGAGCGGGGAGGGGTATTTAGTTCTACCTATAACCATTTCCCCGGGTGCCTCCTACCCGTCCAAGTAGACAGAGGTATGAAAAGCTGCCCATGTACCCATAGCTGACGTCCTGGTCATACTATGCTGGAAAACTAAATTCCCTTTTCTGCAGAAATTCATCTGGCTATGGAAATACTCTTCTTTCTATTCTGAGGCAGAATAAGTTGGGCAGGAAATAGAAAATCTTGGGTAGGCAGAGTAGATTTCTTTTTAACTTTTACTGCAATATAATGTGTGCAAAGACATGTACATATCATAACATACCATGTACAGCTCAATGAATATACCCTTATAAAGAGTACTGACTTACAAAAGAAAGCCAGCATCACGGCATACACCTGTAATCCCAGCACTCTGAGAGGCTGAAGCAAGAGGACAGCAAGTTTGAGCCCACCTACTCTCCTCAGCAAGACTGTCTCAAAAAGTTTTTTAAAAGGGCCAGTTTTTAAAAAGAAAGAAAAATGTACTATCAATTCTCTTAAGAAGTCCTTTCGTGTTCCCTCTGCTTACTATCCATTCAAGAAAACTCTCCTGGCTTTGGGTAATGTGGGCAGTTCTGATCATTTTTTAGACTGTATGACTGGAATCCTTTAGAACATGTATTCTTTGGTGTCTGGTTTCTTTCACTCAAGGTTGTGAGATTTATTCTTATTGCTGAAGTGTAGCTGTGAATAGAAGGTAATTGTCTATTATTTAACTTTTAAAAATCAAGGTACTGGGGCCAGGGGAATAGCTCAGTGGTAGAAGGCTTGCCTAATGTGCACAAGGCCCTGGAGTGCGATCCCTAGAACCATAATAAAAAAAGAAAATCAAGATATTGATCAGACTGACAAAGTTTCATTATTTTCTAATTAGAATACAGTGTGGTTATGGCAAAGTAAACACATTCTTCTAACCTTTTTGGGAGACAGAGTAGAAATATAGCCCCGGGCTTAAAAATGATCAGCAGAGGGCTGAGGACACAGCTCAGCGGTATAGCACACACTTAGCATGCTCGAGGCTCTGGGTTCCATACCTGCCACCACAAACAAACAAAAGTCAGTGTTCTCTAGTTCAGTATTTTTACTGCTAAGAATCGTTCAGTATTTTTACTGCTAAGAATCTGTCCTTAAAACAGAAACAGAAAAAAAAAAAAAATTTTTTTTTTTTTTTTTTTCAGTTTTTTTAAGACAGGGTCTCACTATGTAGTTCAGGCTGGCCTTGAACCTACTATGTAGCCCAGGCTGGCTTCAAACTTGTAGCGATCCTCCTGGTGAGCCTCCCAAGTGCTGGGATTACAGGTGTGTGCCATCACGCCCGGCTAGGAAAAAAATCTTTATACTAACAGAAAAGTTGTTACATGTTATTTTTGAGATCCAAAATTTTGGAAGTAATTAAGTGCCTAAAGGAAATGGTCACGTGTTTACACTGATTTAAATAATTTTATGAAGTGTCTTTAAAGGTATAGTAACATGTTCAAAATATAATGTTAAAATAATCCAAATGTAAACATCTACTCGGCAGGACAGAAACTATTCCCAAAATAGGCATTTTAAAAAAGATTGAAAGGAATGATTAAATGATATGGCCTGTGGATAGTGGAGTTACAGGAATGTCCCTATTCTGACCAGTTGTTTTATTTCTAGTTTCTACTACCATTTATAATTGAAAATAAAAGTTTGAAAGTGTCTGAAGCTTTACTGTGGCACAGTCCTTAGGTGTCAGTGGCTAGTTTTCTTGAGGATGTGCTGAACGTTGCTTAGGATCCTGAGTAGAGAATTGGGGGTGAGCTCTGTGTTTAGTTTCACAGCTCTTCTGGGATTTGTCTCCTGCTTTCCTTGTTAGGTCCAATCAACTACCAGGCAGCCTCTCCTGACGAAGGTGCCCTGGTAACTGCCGCAAGGAATTTTGGCTTTGCCTTTCTTGCCAGGACACAGAACACGATCACCATCAGTGAGCTGGGTACTGAAAGGACCTACAAAGTTCTCGCCATTTTAGACTTCAACAGTGACCGGAAGCGAATGTCTATAATAGGTAGGTCTTCTTCAGACTATGGCTCGTTCACTTCAATATTGCTTTGACCCATTTTATTCAGCAAGGGCAGGGTAAAGCAGGTGATGAGTGGACTGTCAGGCTCCTGGAGACCATCCAAAACTTAGAGAAATTGGTGGTATTTTTTTAAACTCTTCACCATGTCCACTACACAGAGGGACATTCTGGACTATCAGAATCCTGCAAATGTTATGGACATTCTCTTCCACGGAGGCCTCTAGCTGCTAAATCTGAAGGGGCAGGTGCAACTTGCCTAGCAACTGTGGGTGGCCTGCAGTGCGGCCCATGGCATGTGCTCCCCAACAACCCTTCGGAGCACATAGCTTCTACACCTGACACCTGGAGGGCGGACTCAGTAGACGAGGCATTTGTGAGAAGAGAGAGCCTGGGCATATGGATCACAAAGGTACCTGTAGTCCAGGCCCTCAACCACAGGACACCGAATGGGGATGAGGATCACATCCTAATTCTGAAGTTATTGTTTTTGGTTAGTAATTTGAAATAATTTTAAATTTATGGAAGTTGCTAGAATGGTTTAAAGGACTTTTGTGCACCCCTTAGTATGCACCATTTGTTAACATTTGCCATACTTCTCAATGTCATGATCTATACAAGTTACTACCTTCTGAACCATCTGAGAATAAAACACAGAAATTAGGCTGTAAATACATTAGTAAGGATTTGCCAAGAACAAGAAGTTTCACTAATATACAAAGTAAAATAACCAGAATAGAAAATCTACTATGATACAATATTATATAATCTACTGACATTTCCAAATTTTACCAGGAAATTTCTTCCTAGTTTTCTGGTCCCCTCTTCCCTTTATCCCACCATCTTTCCCTCTTTACCTTCCTGTCTCCCTCTCTCCTTATTTTCTCCTAGTTCAGAATCCAATTCAAAATTATGTGTTGCATTCAGTGATCATGATTTCAACCTTTGTTTTTGATCGTCCATACACTGATATTTTTGGAAAGCAAAGGTCAGGTATTTTTGTAGAATGTCCCTCAATTTGGATTTGTTTGGTGTCCCCTCATGATTAGATAGATTAAGGTTATATATTCTTGACAGTATAGTACATACGTGATTTTATGCCCTTCTTGAAGTCACATCAGAAGGCATTTTGTCTCAGTAATGGTGGCACTGACTTTGATGACTTGGTTAAAGTACTGTATATAAACCTTCTCCACTGTGACTCTGAATTTTCAACGAGTAAAAATATATAGGTCTAACTGTCTCCTAAACTCTTAACTGAGTGTTTTCTGTGTGCCTAACATTAGTCTGGAGTTATCATGCCTGGCATCTGTATTGGCGATCTTGAAATCTAGTTAGTGATGAGGCACGTACTGCAGTTAACTTATTGGGTACATCAAAACACAAGAAAATGATCACAGGAGGCATGTTATGGTCTGACGTAAGAGTCCTGAGTTCATAGGTAAGAAAGATTCTTTGGCATGGACAATGAAAATTCTACGGAAAAAAGTAGCTAGCACAGAATATAGTTCATAGTAAGGAGTCTAAATATTTGTTAAAAGAGTAAGTAAATGTGGAAAACTGAGTTGACTATGATGGAAACTTTTCATATTTCTTTCACTATTACGTTCATTGTAGACAGTGGCTCATCAGCTTTGTTGAGGGCAACACTTTTCTAGATGCATTAATATTAAACTCAGGAATTATGAGCACAGTAATCTTTCATACTAACTTTATAAATGTTTTCTATTAAGAACTTAATTCCATTGTGTCCTTTTCCTTTTCTTACTACCAGTGAGAACCCCTGAAGGCAGTATCAGGCTATATTGTAAAGGTGCTGACACTGTAATTTATGAGCGGTTACATCGAATGAATCCTACAAAGCAAGAAACACAAGATGCCCTGGATGTAAGTCTCACTTTTTCTGTGTCTGCTAGAGATTCTGATCTTACTTTTTGGGACTGTCTATTAAGCTCACATGAGAGCTACATGTTAACTGCTGACCCTTCCTTTGCTTTGGTATCAGCACCAAAATGGGAATGTGGTCAGCTGGGTACTAGTTCTGCCCATGCTGCTGACACCCTAGGAAATGACCATGGAGCCCTTTCTCAGCATCCAGGTCTGCAGGTCTGAGTGGCCTTTCTGTCTTCCAGCGATCTTGAGCAAACTATAGCTGCATAGTGTTACTGGAAAATACAGTATGTGTTTAAATTTTTAAAAATTTATTACAGTAAAAGATACATTGCCATTAATCCCCCTTGCTTCAAACACATTTGCCCGACTGTTCTTTTCACTTTCTGAATTAGTTCTGGAGGTACTCGTTTGTGTCTAATTTTGTTGCACTGTCACAGTTGCCTTTATGTCCTGAATCAACTGAAAATGTTTACTTTTGGGGGTCATTTTGACTTTGGAAAAGAGCCACAGTGTCAGATCTGGTGAATAAGGTGTTTGAGAACCCTTACAATGTTTTCATAAGCTTCCCTTTCCTATTTTTGATCATATCACAGACTTCCAGAATTGCTTCAGAAACTATCAAGATTTTAAAGTGAAAGCTTTCAGTCTTTGTCTATTTAGTATGATGTTGGCTAAAAACATTTTTTTTAAAAAGCAAGTATCAAAATGATGGGGTAACTGTGTTCAACGTGAGGGGGATACTTTGAGGGCAGTTAATGGCAATGTCTTTTAATATACATTTTTTTAAAAAATTAAGCATTCACTGTAGTTTTTGATCACCTCTTACACATTACACTGTAGTCTTAATATTTCTGTGACCTCCCAAAACTCCACCTTCTTGATAGAGAATAAAGGCAAGAAATCGTTCCTATAAGACCGGATAACAAAGAAAGATCTTGGAACTTTATTAGCAAAAACAATTTGGTTTTAATTATATCAAAGCCCTTATCTTAGAAAGCTATCGAATGATACTGCAGCTACTAGACTATTTGTGGAACTTGCACTTTAGGAATTGTCCACAAGTCCTCATATTGTTTGATTTTATGTGTTGATGGCAGTGAGGTGCAGACATCAGCCAGAACTTGTGTCTCTGTTCTGCCTCTTTACCAGATTGGTGTCCTTGGAAACATGCTTAGTGTATGGTATGAACCATTAATTCCCCATGTGAAAAGGGAAATAGTAATTCCCACCCTGGAAGGTCCTTGCAAGAGAAAAATCTTTACACTTAATAGGTCATTAATAAAGTGTGCTCTTCCCTTTATTTTAAACATCCACTGAGGTTTACAGCCAGCCAAACATCCTACAGAGAGAAGTCTGATGAATGTGTCGTTTATTAACTGGGTCCCTTTTTAGATTATGTACTCCCACTAATGCAGGTAAAATTAATGATTCTGAGGAAGATGTGAACACCGTCAATCTAATCAACTAAGTATAGAGCCTTCTAAAGAAACTTTGAAAGTGAGAACTTGGTTGAACCAGTTCTTCTATCTTGGCTAGTAGACAAGATGTGACTATGAAGGAATGAAGATTTCTACTGGTTCATATTACAGCTATTTAGAATTATTTTACTCTGTTCACTGTAGGAAATTTCTAGATACATTTTTTCCTTAAAATGTTTGACCTCAGCTTTAATGTGGCTCACAGACTTGAGAGTTGACCTGAGGATTAATGTTGGGTGGGGATTCATAGTTTACTGGAATTGTAACATATTTTATGGGTACAATTTATAAAACATCAGGTCTCTGTTTATAACATTATTACACCCTTTGTTATTTTCTTACTTATTAAGAGAAAAAGCTTTTCTTCACCCTTGTGACTTTATTTAGAATAAAGGTAGTCTTTTTCCCTTAAACTAATTTAGGACCTAGAAATATAATTTTAGGACCTTGAGGATGCTTAGAAAACAAAGCCTATTATAAACCAAAGTTTAATCCCTCTGTGGAAACTTTCATAGTTCGCTGTCTCTTGTTAAATTCTCTTAGTGTATTACTCAGAGTAAGATTTCAAACTTGATCTTAAACTATATAAAATTAACTATTCCTGCATGGGTGGCTTATCTTTCATATAAAATAGATCTTTGCAAGTGAAACTCTTCGAACTCTGTGCCTTTGCTACAAGGAAATTGAAGAAAAGGAATTTGCAGAATGGAATAAAAAGTTCACGGCTGCTAGTGTGGCCTCTACCAACCGGGATGAAGCTCTGGATAAAGTGTATGAGGAGATTGAAAAAGACTTAATTGTGAGTTTTTAGTCTTAATAATTTTTTCCTGGATGTTATAAACTGGATTGAAAATTTTATTGCATTTCATTACTTTTTTTATCTTGTGCTTTCAAAAATATTTTAACTTCAGCATTTGAAATTGGTCAAGGAACGAGGTCATTTGAACTTTTCTGTTCTGAAAAACAAAACAGAAGTTACTGCTCAAGAAAGCAAAAGGAAAAAAGATATTCAGAGAGGTTCTGATTTAACTCTATGATTTTTATATCACTTTTTAAAATTCATTGAGTTTTATATGACAACAAACCAGCATTTATTTCATAATTAGAATTACAGAAACATTTTGAGAAATTTTTAAATAAGAGTCTACCACCCTGCACAAACATTTTGAGAAATTTTTAAATAAGAGTCTACCACCCTGAAAATAACAAAGGGTGCAATAATGTTATAAACAGAGACCTGATGTTTTATAAATTGTACTCATAAAATGTTACAATTCCAATAAACTATGAATCCCCACCCAACATCAATCCTCAGGTCAACTCTCAAGTCTGTGAGCCACATTAAAGCCGTACCACCCTGTACATACACAATCCTATCTGAAATAAGGGAAAGACACCATTTTTTTTGTTGTTGTTTTTTTTTCCAGTACCAGGAATCGAACTCACGACCTTGAACTTGCCAGGCAGGCGCTGGACATCATATTTAAATGAGGCTTTTCAAAACCATACTTATTGCCTATAGATTTAGAGTAACTGGAAATAGCCCACAAATAGCTATTGTTGCCCTTTACCCAGAATGGGCTTATGTCTATGTAAAGCAGCAGATACACAATGAAAGTGTGTTCTTAACATCATTTTGTACTTGTGTTTTTTTATTTATTTTTTCATCTCATGCTTTAAGGAAAAGTTTCGAGTTGTTTTGGTTTGTGGTGTGAGTGGCGTTCTTGCCAAAGCTGGCCTCTGGCCGCTCTAGAGCAGCAAGCAAGGAGTATAATCATTATTTCTTTTTAGAGGTGGGCAAACGGAAGTGAAAGAAAAATTCTGGGTTTACTTTCTAATTGCTTTTTTGTCCCCTAAATGTCTATTTCAGCTATTAGGTGCTACAGCTATTGAAGACAAGCTACAGGATGGAGTTCCAGAGACCATTTCAAAACTCGCAAGAGCTGACATTAAGATCTGGGTGCTCACAGGAGACAAAAAGGGTACTTTATTGTGTAGGGAAGAGTATTAAGTCACAAGTGCTTATGCCTCTGGTTTCCTTTGTACAAGATGACTTTTCATCCTATACAAACACTAGCCATTTCTTTAAAAGGAAGGCATGTTCTCTTCTTTAAAACCTTCATCCTCATCCTGTCCCTGTCCTTCCCTTAGCTGCCTCAGTAGCAGATTGCTGGTAATTTAGCTCCTTGTTGTGTCTGCTGATTATGGTTGGTCTTATCTCTACAACCAGACCTGAGCCCCTGTCCTGAAAAGACCGACTCCCTCTCCCTTCTGTCTCTTCCGCAGTTTTCCATGTGTTGTATATAGGCTAGAAAAATATAAAGTGCTGAAAGACCACAACTTTTGTTTCATTGCTTATTGTATTGCTTAAAAATCAAATTAAAATTTTATACCTTAGGAAAAATTTTAGTTTTTAAAGTTAGAGCTCAACAAGTTATTGTTTGGCATTGATCCTTTATTCCACAAGCCTCTCCCAGGAGATCAGAGAATGTCTCTTGCTCTGACCTCATCAGTCGGTTACATACTCTGCCAAGTTACGGGAAGAACAGCCCTGACCTTTAATAAGTACCAAATGGGTGGTAATGGAAGAAGGGAAAAAATATCTTCAGGAGGAGCCCGTGTGAGCACTGATAGAAACGTTTTCCTTCGCCCCACCCAGTAACAGAGTGATTAAACCACATAATCTGAGTGTGCTTAGTACTTTATGAACAATTCATTTGTTAAATAACCAAATTATATACTTGGTCATATCGCACATTTTACTATTCAAAGGATCTCAGGCTAGACTTTGACTTTCACTTGTTACAGAAACAAAGGGTTTTTTTTCTTTATATGACTTTTATATATTGCTACAGAAAAATAGTATCTTTGGCTGAATCTGGTTATGTTCATGAGTTGAAAGAAATCATTATTACACATTGAGTCCCTAATCTAAAAGTTTGAGATCCAAAATGCTCAAACTCTGAAACTTTTTGAGCACTGATTTCTTTTTTTCTTTTTCTTTTTTTGGTTTGTTTGTTTGTTTGATATAGGTCTTGCTGTGTAGTTCAGACTGGCCTTAAACTCACTGTGTAGCCCAGGCTGGCCTCAAACTCACAGTGATCTTCCTGTCTCAGCCTCTTGAGTGCTGGGGTTACAGGTGTACACCACCACGCCTGGCCCTGAGTGCAGACTTGATGCCACAATGGAACATTTCTCACCTGAGTGCATGTCACCCATGTGATGGATCACATTCACTAAAAATATATAAAATTACCTTCCGGCTGTGTGCATATGACTTATGTAAAGCATAAACAAATTTAGTTTTTAGGCTTGGTGCTTGTTTCTAAGACATCTTATTATTCATACGCAAATACTGCAAAATCCAAAAAAAGAAATCTAAAACATTTCTGGTCCCAAGCATCTCAGATCAGGGACATACAATCTGTATTAGATAAAGCCAATTGTTTAATTCAACACTAGGAATGACATTTAACTTAATTTTATCTGCTGCAGAAACTGCCGAAAATATAGGATTTGCTTGTGAACTTCTGACAGAAGACACCACTGTCTGCTATGGGGAAGATATAAAGTAAGTAAAGGCCTTGCAGTGTGAAATTATGCAGGACTTCATCTTCACAAAGTCAGGACTAGATGCACGGGGCAGGACATATGCAGAAACCAGAGCTGGAATGTGTCTCAGGTTGGTCACTTTTAAATTAAGCAAGAGAACAAACACAAACACATAGCTGCAAGTTATTCTGAGCAGATTTTAGTCTCAGGAAAACTTGGGACCTCTTAGGGGACATTTTCTCCATTCTTTAGAAGTCCTGGGTGCTTGTTTGTCTCCTGCAAAAGGAAGTGCACCTGTGATATCAGTAGCAAATTAATATGAATTATGTTTTGCTTTTTCTAGGGATTTTTACCTTTTGGAAGCAAATAAAAGGTCCCAAGGAGACAGAGGAGGGGGGACAGAGACCAACCAACTTTGTCCCAGAAGGAAAGTGTTTGGTGGGTCACATTATGTAGGTTATCTATAGTCCATTTAAAGGTGGACAGGCCTGATATTTTTAAATCTTAGCTTATGCTGGAACATGGTTTTTTTGCACTGAATCAAAGTCGCAGCAGACCTGGAAACAGCCTAGAAAAGTCTGGTCTTGTTAAGAAGCTCTAAACATACTAGACACCGTTACCAAGATGTGCTTACTGATGGCTTAACAGTTCCATTCATTACTCAAGACTTTTCCTCAGAACGCTGCCAGGCAGGCACAAGGTCAGAGTTACACACATTCGCTGGGTCTACAAAGATGATGGGGAAGTTACTGTCCTTATTAGTCTTCTTTCTAATGATGATGATAAAGCATTGGTGACTGTTTCCAATATTTAGGCATTCTGCTAAATTAGGCGAAACCAGAAACCTTATTATCCAGATCAGTTGTGATTAAATTGAGGCACATAAACTATGCCTCTTTGTGCTTTTAGGTTTTAAAAAAGTAGTAATAGGCTGGGCGTGGTGGTTTGCCTGTAATCTCAGTGCTTGGGAGGCTGAGGCAGGAGGATAACTGCAAGTTTGAGGCCAGCCTGGGCTATAAAGTGAGTTCCAGGCCAGCTTGAACTGCATAGGGAAACACTGTCTCAGAAAGGCAAAAAAAAAAAAAAGGAGCAATAGTCAAATAAATGTTTAGTATGTTTACTTAGTTTTTTTTTTGAGGGCATCTTTGTCTTTTTGAGATAGGGCTCCTTATGCAGTTCAGGCCGACCTTGAGCTCACTTTGTAGCCCAGGCTGGTCTCAGACTCTCAAGGATCCCCATCTCAGTCTCCCCAGTGCTGGGATTACAGGTGTGTGCCACCGTGCCTCATTTAAGTAGTTTTTGACTGCCAATAATTTGGTTAATTACCACATGGTTTTGTTTATTTTTGTAGATGGGGCCCTTAATAAATTTCTGTTCTTTTTAAAAAGGATTAGAATTTGGTTACTATGCTAAATTAAAAGATGAAATTTATACAAGTAGCAAAATTTCTTTTAAATTTTTTAAAGAGAAAAAAATTCAAAACAAGGTAATAGGAGGGTAACAATGGTTAATCTATTGTGTACTGTTACCTTTAAATTAGTTGCTCAGAGAACAAGATACAGGCATTTAACTGTCCAAACAATATTAGCGCAAACCTTGATTTTCAATGAACTAGGATAAGTTAGTAGTATAACTATTTTAACTATCCTTTTCCCTTCCTTCTTTTCTCCTTCCCCCCATTCCAGTTTCTCTTTCCTTTTGAATAGTTTCTTCCAGTAGCAAAGTTTATGATCACACTCTTAGCCCAGTGTCCCTTTGTAGAGAGGTGAATCATCTTTCTAGAGAGTTCCTGAAATGTTGACTCCTGTAAAGTGATTTGAATAGGTAACTTTATTTTTTTCTCTTTCAGCCTTATTTTTTAATTAATTTAATTTCTTTTAAAAAAATTTTAGAGTACTGGAGATTGACTCCAGGCAGCACTGACCGATGTTTCTAGTCCTTTTTATTTTTAGTTTTTAAATTTTGAGTTGGGATCTTGCTAAATTGTCCAGGCTGGCCTTGCACTTGGCAGTTCTCCTCCCTCAGCCTCTGTGCCACCACACGCTGTCTTCCAGCCTTTTACTGTTTTGTCTTGATCATATTTAACTTGAAAATGAGAATGAATGTGGTAAAGGGATAGCAGACACCCGATCTTGCCATGCAGTAGTTCTTCAGCTTGCCCTCTGCTACACAATGTCTGCAAACATCTTTGGTGGTTGCGGCAGGGCAAGAGGGGTGCTAGTGGCTTCTAATGGTTAGGGACCAGGGATGCTGTTAAATGTCCTATACTTTGCAGTAAGCAGCAACATATAACAGAATTATCTGGGCAAAGACATCGGTAGTGGCAAGGTTGAGAGGCCTTCCTTGGAAGCTGAAGAATAATGGCCGATTGTATAGAACGGGAAGCACTCTAGGCTGAAAGCGAGGAAACCTAAGTCCTCCTCCCAACTTCCCTGTTATCTTGCTGCAAGAGGGCACATTACCTTGCTCTGGCTTGACTGCCCTATTCGTAGTGAAGAGAATGGACAAGAAACTTTCCATTTCTAAATTCCTTGACTCATTTTTCCATTACTAGAAAGTGTTACTAGCTGGGTATCATAATGCATGCCAGTAATTCAGCTATTTGGGAGGCTGAGGCAGGAGGATCCTGAGTTTGAGGCTTGGGCAGTTTAGTAAGACCTGCTCTCCACAGAAAATTTTAAAAGGCCTGAGAGTATAGGTCAGATCTCCCTGGATTCAATCCCCAGTATGGAAGGAAGGAAGGGAGAGAGGGAGGGAGGGAGGGAGGAAGAGAAGAAGAGAGCAAGAGGGACAGGGAGAGGGAGACAGAAGGAGGAAGGGAAGGGAGGGAGGGGTATAGAGCAGGGATTAAAAAAAGAGAATGCGTGGGAAGGAGAAAAAGAACGACTATATGTCAATAATTTGTTGATATAAAGCACTGGGAATTTTTAAAAGATGGATGTAATTTTGTAGCCAAGGTATTATAATTCGGATCGATTGCCTTCCTTCTGCTGCTCATGAACACACTGGGAACTGTCTTCCTTTGGCTGTCTTCAGCAAATCGAGAAGTACCAAGGACATGGTGCCCCCATGGTGGAAGAATCAAAACTTAGTAAGATTATGTCATCCAACTAAAAAGAGCAAAGAATTTGAGTAGACACTTCTCCACAGAGGATGCACAAGTGGCTGATAAGAAAGTGAGACAGTGCTCAACGATAGTAGTCACTAGGAAAATGCAAATCAACACTGAAATGAGCTGTCACCTCCTGTGAAGGAAGAGGGGGTACGAGGGAAGGGGGATGGGGAGGAGGAAGAAGAGAGAGAAAGGCAGGGAGGAGAGAAAGGGAAAAGAGATATAAAATAACAAGTGTCA